GCCAACCGGCCCAATAGCTTGGGCCTATGCAAAACATTTCGAAGGGGGTAAGTTTTTAATATGCATATGGTATGACATTGAAAATATAGTTTTAGCTTTCTAGATGCGCTTATCAGTGCAAGTGATAATTTTTCTAAGTGAGGGTATCTAGTTTCAACATCTCCTAGAGTTCGGCTCACATAATAAACAGGAAATAACGTGCCTTGATCTTCTCGAAATAGTACCCCACTTACCGCTATCTCGGATACTACCAAGTATAGGTAAAGTTTTTCATCCACCTTCGAGGTATGAAGCAAAGGCAGGCTCGATAAGTATCGCTTCAATTCTTCCAAGGCTTGCTGACATTCCGGGGTCAAAGCGAAATCATTCTTCTTTTTAAGCAAGGAAAAGAACTGGTGACTTCGATCTGATGACCTCGAAATGAATCGACTCAAAGCAGCTATTCGTCTAGTCTGCCTTTACACGGCCTTCACACTATCCACGGTCGTGATATCCTCGATGGCCTTGATCTTGTCGGAATTTATTTCGATACCCCAATTCCAAACCATGAAACTGAGGAACTTACCCGAGCCGACTCCGAAGGAACATTTCTCTGGGTTAAGCTTCATGTTGTACTTTCTCAAAAATTTGAATGTTTCCTGCAAATGAGTTAAATGGACCTCTGCGCGCAGGGACTTAACCAACATATCATCAATGTAAACTTCCATTGTTTTACCTATCTGTTCTTCGAACATTTTTTTAACTAGGCGTTGGTATATGGCTCCTGCATTTTTTAGCCCAAAGGGCATTACGTTGTAACAATAAGTTCCAAATTTAGTGATAAACAAAGTCTTTTCCTGGTCCTCCGAGTTCATCTGAATTTGATTGTACCTGGAGTAGGCGTTGAGAAATGTTAGGATCTTGTGGTCGGCTGTGGCATCGATCATTCGATCAATGTTGGGCAGTGGGAAAGAATCTTTCAGACATGCTTTGTTTAAATCCTTGTAATCAATGCACATTCTATGTATATTTCCTTTTTTAGGAACTACAACTGCGTTGGCTAACCATTCGGGGTATTTTACCTCCCGAATAGACCCTATTTTAAGGAGTTTGGTTACCTCGTCCTTTATGAATGCATGTTTCACCTCGGACTGTGGCCTCCTTTTTTGCTTTACCGGTTTGAACCTGGGGTGGAGGCTTAACCGATGTGTTGTTATTTCTGGTGAATCCCCGTCATATCTATGTGGGACCAAGAAAAGCAATCCATATTATCAACAAGAAATTGAATGAGTTTTTTTCTGAGTTTGGGGTTAATCCCGTTCCCACGTATACCTTTCTCTCGGGCATGTATTCGATCAGTATGACTTGCTCCAACTCCTCGACAGTTGATTTGGTTTCATCGGACTCTTCAGGAATGACGAAGGTTCGAGGAGTAAGGAAATTCTCTTCTTCGTCTTCGATTACCCGCTGCTCCGATTCCATCGAGGCTGGGGGACGGTTATTGCTATTTAGCCGCCCGCTTACCTTTGATGCTTGATTTCCCCGAGGTCGAAGGCTCTGGTATCGGCGTCACTTCATCGACTGCAAACATTTCCTTTGGAGCATGTTGCTCTCCATAGACCATTTTTACACCATCCTCCGTTGGGAACTTCATCATCTGATAAAGAGTTGAAGGTACCGCACTCATGTTGAATATCCATGGTCTTCTGAGGAGTGCATTATAGCTCATGTCGCCTTCGATGACATGGAATTTGTATCTTGTGGTCCCGGCTACGTTGACTGGCAGGATTATCTCCCCTTTTGTTGTTTCGCTTGCCATGTTAAAGCCATTTAAGACCCGAGATGCAGGTACAATCCGATCCTGTAGGCCGAGCTGTTCTACGACCCTCGATCTGATTATGTTCGCTGAGCTACCTAGATCCACTAGAACACATTTAACTTGAATTTTATTTAAAAGGGTAGAAATTACCAGGGCGCCATTGTGCGGTGGAGATATGCCTTCTGCTTTCTCATCATAGAATGAAAGGACGTCCTCGGGCACATAGCTTCGAGTCCGCTTTTCTCTGGTGATCGACACCTTGGTGCGCTTGAACACGGGTCCTTGTGGGACGTCGACACCACCAACGATTATATGGATTACATGTTGTGTTTCTTCTTGCTCATTTTTTCTTGCATCTCTTTCCCTGAAGTGGCTTTTAGCTCGATCAATGAGAAATTCTTGAAGGTGACCCTTGTTGAACAACCGAGCCACCTCCTCCCTTAGCTGCCTGCAATCTTTGGTCCTATGTCCATGTGCACCATGATACTTACACATCAAGTTTGGATTCCTCTCAGAAGGATCGGTTTGGATAGGCTTGGGCCACCTGGAATCTTTGATTCTTACAATAGCTGACAAAATCCCTGATGCGTCTACACTGAAATTATACTCTGACAATCGAGGTACCTCCACGAGGTCGGTGTGTTTATCGAACCCGTTTTTACTCATGAGTCCCCGGGAGCTTTGACCTCGATCGTTTCTCCAATCATTCTGAGGAGCGTTACGGCCCGAACCATTGTTTCTCCGATCGACATACGGCTGATACTGTTCTTTGTTTGACCTCGATTCCCTGTCTGTATCCCTCGGGGGCTTAGCTGCCGATCTATTAGGATGAACTGAACCCGAGGGGACTCCCAACTGGTCGTCTTCGACCCTAATCTTCGATTGGTAATGGTTATGTACATCCGACCATTTAAAAGCTGGATACTCGATCAGATTCTACTTTAATTATCAAGACGCAATCGAACTCCTATCATTCAAACCCTGCATAAAAGCTTGTACTGCCCAGTCATCCGAGACTGGTGGTAATTCCATTCTTTCCATCTGAAACCTGGATACGAACTACATTAACATCTCGTCGTTTCTTTGTTTTATCTTGATGACGTCCGATTTCCTCGTTGCCACCTTTATGGCCCCGGCGTGTGCTTTCACAAAGGCGTCGCTAACATAGCAAACGAATCAATAGAGTTAGGAGGCATGTTATGATACCAAATTATGGCTCCTTTCGACAATGTTTCCCCAAATTTTTTTAACAATACTTATTTGATCTCATCGTCATTCAAGTCATTTCCTTTGATCCTGCAAGTATATGAAGTAGTATGCTCGTTAGGGTCGGTTGTCCCATTATATTTGGGTATATCGGGGATGCGAAACTTCTTAGGAATGGGCATCGGAGCCGCGCTCTAAGGGAACGGTTTTTGTATGAACTTTTTGGCATCTAAACCCTTCAAGACTGGAGGTGCCCCGGGTATCTGGTCAACACAGGAGTTATAACTTTCCACTTTTTTGTCGTTGTCTTCAATCTTCTTCTTATTATTGGACTCGATCCTCTTGGTGAGCTCTTCGAGCATTCTCATATTAGTGGGATCAGTCCCCGAGCCATTTTCGTTCGACCTCTCCGGCACCGGTTCAGCACGTCGAGTGTTTTCTGGTTCAGCTATGCTCGGATTTTTATTCTGACTCTAAAGTTGAGCGATGTCGATCTGCTGAGCTTGCAGCATCTCGAATATCACTTGGAAGCTGACTCCCCCATCTCACATACCTGATGTTCCTTGGCCCCCAGATCGGGCTTCTCTGCGTACACTCCCTCCGGGGTCTGTGCCTAGATCTGCATTCAATGCAATGTGCGAACTAATATCAACTGGTTCCACGTTTGGCACTTTCCCAGGGTTTATCGGTGGTACCCGACCCCTACATTATTATTTTTCCCATGAAATCCAAGACCTTCGTTGTCATGAACAGGTGCATTTTGCGAGTTTGACATGTTTAATCTTGAGAATCAGAAAATCTTGACAAGAAAAAGCGTAAAAATAACGTCTGTAATGGGAATCAATAATGAAATAATCACTATTATCTTTAGCCCCACAGTGGGCGCCAAACTGTTTACCTCGAAAATACGAGTAACAATTAAATTTGATTTGTGGTTTTAAAGATATGGGATTTAGTTCAATACCAATTAAAAATCAAGAAGTATAAAGTATAGATGAATGAAATAAATGAATAAAATCAGTATTACCAAACAGTATCGGCCTCGAGCTTAGTGTCCTCGAGACGAACCAAGGACAACAAAGTAAGAATAGTATAGAGAAAAGACAAGTCCGATGAACTATGAGCCAGAAAAATAAGATAGTATATTCTTTGCCAATGATTAGATGATCTTTACAAATGATTGGGGTCCCTTTTATTTACTAGGGAAACTCAGCTTCGGTACTCATCGTACTTCGATCTTCAGGCATTGTATCCTATCTTCGAGCTCGAGTCTGATCCATCGGGCTCGAACTCGACCTTGGCTGAACTCGGTCTTAAGACGACCCCTCGAGCCTGGGAAATCGAGCATACCTGATTTCGACCGTATACACATATCTTCTTTTTCTTATGGTTCTTTTTAATATTGCTTTAGTGATTGCTCATATGCGTTTCCAATTGACAAACGTGATTGTGCCATTTATTAGGGAGGAAGAGTTCTTTGGTATTGCCGTCGTCAATGCAACCTTGAATCCATCTGGGTATTGTATGCAAATCCAGTCACGAGATTGAAATTTATCAAAATCTCTGCAATTTTTACAAAAATATCTGTTGAGCTTGTCTTTGTTGGAATGCCTCCTTGGCCTCTTCTTTTATAGTGAGAAGGTTTTTTTTCCAAGGTGGAGCACTGGAGCTCCTCGGGAAAGAAACTTTTTTAAAGCAGCTTACATCCTAGTTGGTAGGGAAGGTATAAGTGGACTAATTGACGTTAGGAAAATTTTGTGCCCAAATGAAAGTTGGTACGAAGGGTGAAGTTGTTATATTTCTCTTATATAATTCCACATGGAGAAAAGGTATGTGTATATCTAGCAATGACAAGAAGGGAACTTTAGGCTCCTATGCTGGGAGCTTTGGATCATACTTGGAGGACTTAATGGGTGCATATCGTTCACTTGACATGAGAGTACATCTTAGGTCTAAATATACCGAAAGATCAATGATTTAATGGAGAAGCAAACCATAACTCCATGGGCGAACAATAAAAAGTATTTTCCATCAAAAGTTTGATCAGTAAATGAGCAAACCATACCTCTCATGGGTGAAGCTAGTATGGTTGGTAAGGAATTACTTGTTCACAAGTTGAAAACTTTAAACAATCTAACACAATTTATAGACATGAATGCACGATTCTAGAACTTTATGATTTTGACAAATAAACTTATTTAGTGTACGCATTCAAGACAATCCAACAATGGTGCTCTATTTTTTAAATTATTCTTCTTTCTTTTCTCCTCCGTTCTTCTTCTTCTGCTTACTCTTCTTCTTCCTCGTCCTCTTTCTCTTCTGCGTTAATTTGCTTCGTCTTCCTTAGCTTCTCCACCTCCTCATCCTCTTTCATCTCTTCTTGTTTTTATTCCTCTTCCATTTCTTCTTCCTCATCCGATCCCTGTTCTTCGGCGCTTTTCCTTTTAAAAGAAAAAAAATATGTTGGGATTGAAATAACATAATATAATGACATTAAACATTTTGAAGTTATGACAACATAATCATGATATAAAGATAATGAAAAAGTCAATATCTTTGGGTAGCGTCATAGACATCCCAACTTTAGTTAAATAAACTCGTTTAATAAATTTTAAAAATTAATTAAAATTTACTGACAAGCATATACTGACAAGAACAAAACGTAAACCAAGTATAGAAATCTCATCGAATTTATCATTCCCCATTTCCGTCTTCATCTCTTTTCTTTTCTTTTTTTTTCTACAAATTAATTAAGTTGGGTTGATCAGTTCTTACATGGCCATCATGTAGTTGACGAACTCCTCACAGTTGATCCGTCCATCACCATCCACGTCAGCTTCACGAATTATCTCCTCAACCTCTTCATCTGTAGGTGGCTTGTCTCCGTTTGCCATGACACGGCGAAGATCAGCTACAGTAATAAATCCATCCTCATCCTGGTCAAATAGGCTGAAGGCTTCCTTGAACTCAGACATCTGATCATCTGTAATGCTTTTGGGATATTCAAAGGGAGAGGAAAGTAGCAAACTCGAACATGAGAATTTAATTGGAAGAAAACACTTTAAGTTTATAACCATAATGAATTTAGCTGCATATATATCTTACGAGTCACATGCTTGCACCTAGCTAGATAGGAATAAATTTAAATAGTTAATCAAGAAAATAAAAAAAGACTATGTAAAAGGATAAAAGACATACCGAGAGTAAGGAGGAAAAATATAGACGTCGAGATTGTCACATCCTGCAGTTGCATCCACTTCTTCCTTAATCTCCAAAGCTGAAGCCTTGAGGGAGTTTTGTTTACAATGGATCACCTTGATTGATGTAAGCGTTTCAACATCCACAAAACTCTCAGGAATCTTCTCAAGAAATCCAATACGTCTTAGCACTAAGCTCTCAAGCACGGGAAATGATGATTCTGAGACATGCCATTGCCTAAGAGGAACATCTCGAAATTTTAAGATTTTGAGCACCGGGAACTCCACATCTCTCACGTCCCACTCATCTTGGTTGAATCTACAGTAATCTTGGAATTTCAGTCTTAGAAGGTTGGGTAACCCAGCGATTGTGGAAGCTGCACATGCTGGTATCTTAACTTGGTGGAGGATCAACTCTTTGAGGCTTGAAGGTAAATAATACTTGGTGATAACAAATGTGTCCATCGAATGAAGAAAGAGTGACTGAAGTTGTGTAAGAACTTCGAATTTCAGAACGAGAAACTTTGTTTCACCAGAATCATTACCAACTACGAGTGTAAGTTCTTGAAGATTGGGAAACCTCTCAATTAGCACTTCTATATCTTCCTCAGAATCAACCTCAAGTGTCATGCCTTCAAATGTCCTCAAATTCTCCAACTTAGATGGACCTTCTTCAGAAACTACAATCATCTCACGATATAAGATTGCTAGAATCTGCACATGCTTTAGTTTCGTCATTTTCCAAATATGAGGTGTCCCCTCAACTGTTCTATTAGAATCCACCAACAAAGTTTCCAGGTTGCACAAGTGTGACACCCACTTGAAAGAAAACTCTTCGCAACACATTCTAAGGTATCTCACATGAACTAGTGATTGCAGTATATCCTCATAATCCTCAAGAATGCAGTTCTTGAAATCCAAGACACTGACAAGTCGTAAGTCTCCAACTGACGAGAGATCATACGAACGAGATAAATACTCTTTAGAAATAGTACCATGAAAACTACACTCGCTATTCCAAAAATCTCTATAAGCAAGAAAATCATCCACATTATTAGTAACGAAGAACGATTTAAGATCTTGTCCAAAAGATGTTTCCTTTTTGGAGCCGCTTGTGAGGAATTTATCAAGTGAGTTGTTGGATGTTTGCAAATCACGACGAAGCTTATGGTCGAGGTGAATGCATACTCGATGTTCCCCATCATACGAAGGTTGATATTGGTTATGTATCCCTATAACTTGCATGAACTTTTCTTCTTTAGCTTTGTTTAAGACAAAGTCACGCACTAGATCATGAATTTGCAAGGACTTCACCTTGCCGTCAAAATTCGTCTTTGAAACCATTAGTAGGCTACTAGAAATTAGATCCATCAAGTAACCTTCAGCTACTTTCTCCAATCCTCTCTCATCACTATATTGAATGTTGCCTTCGGCCATCCAGAGTAATATCAATTTAGATGCTCCAATTTTTTCATCCTCCCTAAATACTCCCATAGTCAGAAGGCAATGTCTCAAATGATCCGGTAAGTAGCTGTAACTTAACTGTATTGCCAAGTTGCTCTCACTTTCAACTGCTCCAAGATGAGACTTTAAATTGTTTGCAACTTCACACCACTCTGCGACATTCCTTTCTTTCTTTGCCAGAATTCCACCAATCAAAACAACTGTAAGAGGCAGCCCTTTACAATATTTGCAACTTGTAGCCCAACATCCCAGAATTCAGGAGGGCAAGTTTCCTTTTGAAATGTTGTTTTCTGTAACAATTTCCAGCTCGCTTCCTTGTTAGGAACCGAGGGGAATAAGAATCGGTACAGTGCTTGACTTCCATTGCCACATGTTCAATGCGAGTTGTTAACATGATTCTGCTTCCTTGTTTACCAATTGAAAAACATAATCTTAACTCATCCCATGCCTCGGCTTCCCATACATCATCCAAGACAATGAGATATCTTTTGCCTATTAAACACTTGCGCAACATATCGGATATGTCACTCTCCTTTTCTCCATTGCACTTAACACCGGTCACTTGCTTATAGATATCCCTCAGCAGCTCTCTCACATCATATGATTGAGAAATGGTAACCCATGCTCGAACATCAAAGTGAGAAACAATAGAAGAATCTTTGAATATCTTTTTTGCCAAAGTGGTCTTTCCGAGACCAGGCATGCCCAAAATAGAGACAATATCCCGTTCCCTTATTCCTCTTGTCAGTATCTTAATTATCTTCTCAGCATCATCCTCAAGCCCCACAGGTTCCTCTTCAGTTACATGAGTACTTGGCGTAGGATTTAGAGCACTCTCATCAATGTCGACATCCTCCATCCTAATTAGCTTGATCTATTTTCTCTTTGTTGAGGTTGAAATGCTTGATGTCAGAGAGCAGTATGCCTAACATGAGTAAGACCAATGACATGGTCAATCTCCAGTAAGCAATAAACAACCAGTAAGTGCGGATGAAAAACCATAAAGATGAGAAAAGAAATTGGTGCAAGCAATGGTAACTCCCCAGTTAAAATTTCTATAATGATTAAGAACTCTTAGTTCAATTTGAATGTTAGGAGAGATAGGGCCAGGAATAAAGATATTCGGGATTCAGGGTGCCCCCCCCAGGAGAAGATGCGGGAAGTGAGGTTGAGATGGTACGGACATGTGAAGATGAGATGCTTAGATTCCCTAGTAAGGAGGTGTGAATGGTTGGACATAGTGGGTTTCAGGAGGGGTAGAAGAACGCTTAAGAAATATTGGGAAGAGGTGATTAAGCATAACATGACGCATCTTCAACTTACTGAGGACATGATCCTTGATAAGAGGTTATGGAGGTCGAGGATTAGGGTAAATGTTTAGCAGGTAATATAGTGTCTGACCCTTCCATACCGATAGCTTTAATATTACCCTTGTTCGGGCTATCCTAGGATCCCTATTCTTACATGTTGTTGCTTCTGTTTTAGTTGGTGACTATCTTGTTATTGGCTCTGTTTCTTTTTCATAATGTTTTCTTGATTTGTTATTCATTTAATTAGTGTTGTGATTGTGCTTACCTGAGACAATGCTCTATCAAAAAAGTTTCTCTTCCTCCATAAGGTAAAGGTAAGGTCAGCGCACACTCACTCTCCCCAAACCCCACTTGTAAGAATTCTCTAATATGTTGTTGTTCATTTAGCTTTATTTATCAATTTATGGAAATTGCGAACATAGACAATGTGGGGAAAAGATAAAAAGTTAAATCTTAAAACAAATTGAAAAAGAAAACTGAATGGAAAAAATCAAAAGTTAAATGGCCAAAACACTAGGGATCCATGAGAGATATAATTCAAATGGTTTTCAAAATTTGAAAGGATTTATTGGAATGAGAATTAATAAATGGCAATAATTTTTCAAGAGAAGAAAATGGTGTGAGTTGAGGAAAGAGAATGGGGTGTAACGACCCGGTCAGTCGTTTTGAGTATTGTAGCCTCCTTCTCCCATTTATTGCTTATTTTATGTTCAATTGTGGTTATGTGACTTGACGGGGTGGTTGGTTTGGTTCCGGGGATGTTCCAGCATGAATTGGGACCCTTAGTCCCAAGGTTTGAAGCCTAAGTTGAAAGAGTTGACCGGATGTTGACTTATGAGTAAACAACTCTGGAATGGAGTTTTGATGATTCCGGTAGCTTTGTAATAGATTTTTGACTTAAGAGATGTCCGGATTTTGATTTGGAGGTCCGTAGGTGGTTGTAGCTTGAATTGACGAAAAGTTGGAAAGTTGAAGGTTTGGAGAGTTGTGAAGTTTGACCGAGAGTTGTATTTGTTGATACCGGGCTCAGATTTTAGTTTTAGTAGTCGGAGTAGGTCTGTTGTATCATTTATGACTTAGGTGCAAAATTTGAGGTCAATCGGAGTTGGTTTGATAGGTTTCGGCATCGATTATAGAAGTTGGAAATTCATTTAGTTTCAATAGGCTTGAATTGGGGTGTGATTCGTATTTTTTACGTTATTTGAAGTCTCGACTAAGTTTGTATGATGTTATAGGATGGGTTGATATGTTTGGATGAGGTCCCGGGGGCCTCGGGTGTGATTTGAATCTAAATCAGATTGAATTTTGGATTTGTGAAATTTCTGTTATGTTCAGATCTGGTGCAACCGCACCTACAAGAAAGAGGCCGTAGGGGCAGAGCCATAGAAGCGTCCAAGGGGTCGCAAAAGCGGCTCTGAGTGAGTTGGGGGAATTGCGCAGGTGCGAAGAAGATTCCGCACCTGCAAGCTCGCAAACGAGGGAGGATGGTCGCAGAAGCTGGGGAGGTGCAGGAGTGGTAAGTTCGCAGAAGCGGATATTTTTGCGTAGAAGTGCATCCGCAGGTGCAGGTGCAGGCTTGTGACCACAGATGCGATGGGTCGATTTTTACGTGACTTCCGCAAATGCAAATTTTTGACCGCAGAAGCGGTGATCTTGACTGCAAAAGCGTTTTTGCTGGACAGGAGTTTATAATTGAGGGTTTTGAGAATTCTCTCATTTTTAGACTTTACATGCTCTGCTAGTGGAGATTGTTGAGAGGGGTTTCACTACAAATCAGGAGGTAAGCTAGTTTGTATCACTTTTGTCCGGTAATATTAAATACCCATTAATTTCTACACCTAGATTTTGTATTGTTAAGGTGGAATTTGGGGGATTTTGGACTAGGGATTAGAGAGTATGTTTTGGGGGTTTGAGAGTTGATTTATGGTCGGAATTAGATGATTTAGCATGGTTGGTTTCGTTATTGAATGGGTGTTTGGATTTTGTAAATTTTATCGAGTTCCGAGGCATGTGGCCATGGTTGACTTTTTCGGTTGACTTTTTGAATTTGGTTAAAGAACATAGCTTTATCGTATGGGATCAATTCCTATGGCTTGTATTGATTGTATTAAATTATTTGTGACTAGATTCGAGTCGTTTCGAGGCTGATTCGCGAGGTAAGGGTTTGTTGGAGCATTGAGTTGCGCACTTTGAGTTAAGTAACACTTCTAAACTTGGTAGTGAGGGCATGAATCCATGAAATATATGTTATGAGGTGTTGAGGTGACGCACATGCTAGGTGACGGGCGAGTGGGCGTGCACCATGGTAATTATGACTCGGTTGATTCTTTGGTACTTTATAGTTATCTAATCTTTTTTTCTATCCATGAAATTACTGCGTGTTAGAGTAACTGAACTGTGATGCATGTTAGAAATCATGTTTAGGTTATATGCTCATTCTGTTGGGACCCACTGAGATAACTTCTGCTATTGAGTTATTTGCTTAAATCGCAATTATGTACTCAGTCATACTCATTCATTTGCATATCATATCTAAGTCTCTGTTATCATTTACTGTTACATCATGTCATCACTATTTGGGCTGAGTAGTATGAGATATGTGATTTCGTGAGAGTGGAGAGATTGATGAGTGAGTTGGGGCCTGAAAGCCCTGTTGTGAGCGATATTGTGGATCGGGCTACACGGCGTAACATATTATATTGGCTTTATATCTATTATTATTATGGATCGGGTTGCACGCCACAGTAGGCCTTATAGGATTTATATATTATTATAGGATCTGGATGCACGTTGTGGCGAGCCATATTAGCTTTATATTAGTGCTTGGGCAGGATCCGCCCTCCGGAGTCTGGCATACCAGTAGTTAGCGCAGGTACCGTACAGTGCTGAGTGATTGTGTGTGATGAGTGGGAGTGGAGACAGACAGATTGAGTACTCTGAGAATATGAGTACCTGGGAGTATCACTGTGATGCATTACATTTGACATGCATATTTGGCATGTAGTCATAGGGATGTTACATTCCTCATGCTGGTTGTACTAGGCATATTTTATCAGTGTTGAGCTTAAATTGTTGAACTCAAAAGTATGTCTACATTTCTATACTGTGTACGAATTGATTATGAAATTTCTCTAGGTTATTACTGTCATTTCCCTGTTATATCCGTTCTATAATAATCTTGATTCGAACTGTATCTTTCTTGGCTCGTCACTGCTTTCCGCCCAAGGTTAGTCATGTTACTTATTGAGTACGTTGGGTCGGTTGTACTCATACTATACTCTACACTTTGTGTGCAGATCCAGGTACATCTGGACACGAAGGTTGCTAGATTCGGTGCAATATCTGCTCGGAGACTATTGAAGTAGATGTTATGACGCCCACAGACCTCGACTCTCCTTCCTTTTAGTTTATTCAGTACAGCTTTATTTTTCAGAAAATTGTATTAGAGATTTAGACTATGTTGACACTTAGTAGCTCATGTACTCGGTGACACCAGAATTTTGGAATGTTGTCGTTGAGTTTCAGTTGTTTTTAGGCGAAATACATAAAGCGCCCCTTTAAGTTGTCCCCAACGATCATTTGAACACCTTAACTTGCCATATGACCAGACAGACACTTCTGCTTGATAGAAGTATATTCTCTTAAACCCCTTATGCTGGCATGGCAAATTTTGTATGTTACACTTATCTAAGCGCGTGAAGATCTTTACAATTAGGTTTATCTTTTTTTTTCCCCTAAAATCACTGTGGAATCCACCACCTCCTCCAATTTTTTTTCTCCATCTTCTGCTATTGCCCCAAATTGGGGAAGGATATTAGAGATGATTTCTCTTGGGAAAATGCAGTCGCATGTTGGGTCTGGAGCTATGCTCTTTGTTTTCTTAGAATTCTCTTTCCCTTTCCCTTTCTTCTTCCCATTTCCTTTGCCTTTAGTTGTCGTCATCTTAGCTGGGAAGTGGCCGAAGGTTGAAAACGATAAATGGTTTTGTGAAATCGACGTACGACCAACAGCCTAGTCTTCACAAAGAAGAGGGAAAGGTAGGGTTTTGAGGGTTAAAAAGAAATCAACAACACTTGTTTGGATTATATTGGGAAAGATACTTTTGTGGGAGAAAGAAGACCATGAAAAGTGGAGAAAGATTAGGGAAGAAGACGGGGGTTTAAGGTCTGATCTGGGAAAGTAGGGTCTTTTTCTTATTTCTTTAATTAAAAATTACAACTATTTCTAACATAGACTATAATTTATTTAATAAATACACGTGTCATTCAATTATTTGTCAGATGACATGTCATCAGCGAGTGTAACTCAATCATGAGGTTTGTTGAACTCGAGTGTTCACGAGGCACACCTGTGTTAAATAGAGGTGCATGTCTGGTCATATGGTAAGTTAAGGTGTTCAAATGATCGTTGGGGACAACTTAAAGGGACGCTTTATGTATTTATAAGTTTTTTAAGTTAAGGTTTTATCAGTTATTTATGAGATTTTTATTGTGAAACTTATTAAATCATGTTTTTAATTTAAAATACGTAGTTATCTTGTGATTGTCGGCTTGCCTAGTAATGTGATAGGTGCCATCACGACAGATTGGGATTTGGATCGTGACAGGTGGGGGTGGGGAGAGTTTCAAAGAGTAACCAAATAATGTTATAAAGAAAGAAATTAATTTAAATTTTGACATGTGTCATCTAAATAAGGATTGGGATAAAAATTTAAAAGTTGAACGCGCTTATATTTTTTGATTAAGCATTTATGTGTCAAGTTGCTAAAGAAGTGTGTCTTAGACACACTTTAAAAATGTTAAGTGTGTAAAGTGATTTTCACCACTAAAAAGTATGTAATAGGAATTTGGTTCATAGTTGAGATGGTAAGTTATGTATTTTGCCACGAAAGAATAAAAGAATTTGAAACATACACTTGATGGCGCAAGTTTCATGGTGTGCCAAAAAATCTAAATATCCTGTTTTAGGTGTGTACTTATTCCAGTTCAAAAAAGTTTTAGGAAATAGTATGACCACGCAAATGCAGGGTATACCATGAAAATCTGACCTAATTCGATGGATACTTATGCTCCAAAAGATAAGGAAGAAATGAAAAAAGAAAAAGAACTTACAGCCAAGTGAGTTTTTTCTGTCGCTCTTCAATTTCCTAGGTCTTAGCAGATGCAACAACAACCACCATTACGGCTCAGTCTCAAAGGTCTTACGTAGTAGATAACACCTTAAAAATTAAAAATAAAAACAAATAAAAAAGAGGAAAAATAAGGAAATTGCTAACAAACAAAAGTAGTTTCTTTGCATATTTGACTATTCAGTTTCAAAATTTGAGCACTGAATACTTGAAGAATTGTTTATGGATCTGCGGCAGATTGGCAGTACGGAGAAATTAGCAAGTTTTAAGATATGGAAACAAATTTAGTACTTGAAGATTTAAAGTATGGTTGTGGATCTGCAATCACATGTAGAGGTAACTGCAGGGACAGTAAGAATTTATCATATTCTTTCAAAAATTCAGTAGTGTACTACTCCATTTCAGCTTTATATATGACGGTACATAATTGTTCCCAAATTTTAATCAATTTAGAAGAAAACCTTTTTGCACATAAAAAGTATTCTTAGAGCTTATGATCTAAACATGTCATGACAGTTTTATGGTTAAAAGCGCAAACCAATAATGATAAAATGTTGAAATTTTAATTGTCATATGAAATAGAACAATAAGACTACATTGTAACCAATTATTATATAATTAAGTAAATAAATATATATTCTATTTTATAGATTAAACTTTTAGATAACATAAAAGCATAATTCGAAAGATCATGACCACACATGAAAGGACGTATCAAAGGCATAATTATGGTAATACAAGTATAACACGTCAACAGTTTAAAGTTTTAAATACGATGATCACACAATTCAATGGCAATAATTGGCACTTGAAATCAAGAAAACACAAATTAGACAATTGTTTCGGAAGAAGTCTTCCATGGAATCTCACCTTCAAGGCTTCTACCCGCACCAAGCTATGCCTTCTGTGTCTTTGATTGCTTAGGTTGCTTCCCGTAAAGATAATGATAAGGATATAGCAATGGTTGACGATTTTAGAGGGTGAAGCCTAGAGAAGGAATTGTTGTCGACATTATACCAGTCTTAAATTATACCAATAATACAAGATACCTAAGGTTCCAGCTGGATCCATTGACTTTGTGTTCAAGTGGTGATTTGATTAATCATCCATCATTTATTCCAAGGTCTATTCTATTAATATGACACCATTAATATAGTTTTTTAATAAAAAAAGTGTCAAAGAAATTAAATGGTTGACTATTGGAAAACAAAATGACGACATTTTTTGGGGTCGGGATGGGTTAGGGGGGCAGTGAAATTGTGTTGATAACCTTTCGTATGTAGTTGACTATTGAAAAATAAAATGATGACCTCTTTTTTTTGTGTCGAGATGGGTTAGGGGGCACTGAAATTGCATTGATGACCTTTCGTATTTAATATATTCCGCAATTATGATTAAGTGGTATGTATATTAAAGTATACATTCTTTTCCATGTATGATTTCCCCTTAATTATGATCAAATGATATGTATATTAAAGGATAAATACTTATGTACTTTTCTTTCTATGTGAGCAGTTGTAAGTGTTATTGAAACGGTATTGCTGTAAAATTAATAAAACAATAAACTTTCTGAAAAACAAAAATAGAAAGTTAGTAGAACTAAAACGTCAAAATAAATTTTGAAAAACAGGATAGTAACTTCAAAATAAATTTTGGAAAAAGTATAGGAATAAATCGAGCCCACTGAATACACAGTGTGTCCTTAAGGAAATTATTCCCCTCAAGTACCCGAGGTTGTGGAATATATCCTCCCAGGATAGAACGATTTAACTCACCGTAGTGTTGGTACCAAAAACGCCGATGATCAGCGAACCACTCGAAGGCTGTAAAACACACTGGAATATTTTTATGTGCAGAAGAAGAAGAAGAAGATCAAAAAATTTCTTAAGTAAATATTCTGGGATTTGAATGAATATTTATAGCCAATTTGGTATTGTTTCTGAAAAGGTTTGCAACCTCAGAACAACCATAGTTGTTGGAACAGGTTTGACACTGTTTCAGAACAACCATAGATGTTAGAAATATTGCGGGAAAATTTAAACGAATTTAAAATAATCTGGGAAAGAAAACGGGCCGGACCGGACCGGGTCGCGGGTCATGGGTTATTCCGGATTGAATTTTCGTTAATTAATTTAATTAAATATTTGAAAAAAAAATTGTCCAAAAAGATTAATCAATCAATTCGAAGCCGAAGCCGAGCCGAGCGAGCGACGACGACGGCGCGAGGCTTGCCTTCTTCTTAGCTCTTTAAGAGCTAAAAGATGAGCTTCTCTATATATACACAAAGATTTTCTTTCCTTCTACCAATGCGGGACAAAGTGCATTAGTAAAGTGAACTAATTCAAAATTTCACTTCCCTCCATTTCTTTTCCCACCATTTTCCATTCACAACTCTTTTGTTATAAATAACAAATAATAACAAAAATCCAACAATCCCCCACATGAATGGGGAATGGCTATAAACTTAAAGGAATGCACGGACGTGTGTGTGTTTTACGTGCAAGAATTAATTGCATCTGGATAAGTAGGTTTCCCTTTGAACTTTCCATAGTGAACTTATATCGGATATACTCGGTCAATCGGTTGATTTGATATCTTTGAACCGTCGAGCTTTGTTGTATACTTAGACAATATAAGTCACACAATCAATCCTTAACCATCAATAGTTCTTACGGTTGTGTTCGTTTCAGCCATGAACACCGCCTGGTTTCATGAGTGCTTAGAGAATGGGCCTTTACTTTCATTCCCCTTGAAGCGGCTTACACTTCACACTCACATAGGTGATTCCTAAACGTGTAATCCTGAAGACACACTATCTGGTCATATCCTACCAGACTTAGCAAATCAATAAAAAGCTTTAAGCTTTATTGACTCATCAAAAAGCCTTAATGCTTTACCTCATTTTTTAACATTGTCTTCATCACGAGAATGGGTTGAATTATTTGACAATGTTGAACCGTCATTCATAACTTTGTTTGATCTCTTTGAACCTAGCTCTTGGGATCTCAGTCTGCTAAGTAGATCTACCGCCATGATGACTTGTCCTAGGCCTTTAACCCCTTTCCCTTTGTTGATCTTTCAACTTCCTCTCTAGATAGGCCTTTTGTAAGTGGATCCGACACGTTATCTCTTGACTTTACGTAGTCAATTGTGATAACACCACTAGAGAGTAGTTGTCTAACGGTATTGTGTCTCCGTCTAATATGACGAGATTTTCCGTTATACATAACGCTCCCCGCCCTACCTATTGCCGCTTGACTATCATAATGTATACAAATAGATGCCAAAGGTTTGGGCCCAAATGGAATATCTTCCAAGAAATTCCGGAGCCATTCAGCTTCTTCACCGGCCTTATCTAAAGCTATGAATTCAGATTCCATTGTAGAACGCCCGATGCACGTTTGTTTGGATGATTTCCAAGACACTGCTCCACCACCAATTGTGAAAACATATCCACTCGTGGACTTAACTTCAGATGATCCGGTGATCCAATTTGCATCACTATATCCCTCGATCACGGAAGGGTATTTGTTATAATGCAAAGCATAATTTTGGGTATGTTTCAGATACCCCAAAACTTGTTTTATTGCCATCCAATGTATTTGATTGGTATTACTTGTAAACCGACTCAATTTGCTAATAGCACATTCTATATTTGGTCGCGTACAATTAATGATATACATCAAACTTCCCAATACTCTTGCATAGTCCAATTTTGATCACTTTCACCTTCATTCTTTTGAAGTGCATAACTCACGTCAATTGGAGTCTTGGTAATTTTGAAATCCAAATACTTGAACTTGTCAAGTACCTTTTCAATGTAGTGAGCCTGTGATAATGCTAGACCTTGTGGAGTCTTGTGAATTCTGATTCCTAAGATCACATCAGCAACTCCTAAGTCTTTCATGTCGAATTTGCTAGCCAACATGCGCTTTGTAGCATTTATATCTACCATACTTTTGCTCATTATCAACATGTCACCAACATATAAACAAACAATGACTTCATGACCTGGAGTGTTTTTAATGTAACACATTTGTCACACTCGTTGATTTTAAATCCATTTGCCAATATTGTTTGGTCAAATTTTGCATGCCATTGTTTGGGTGCTTGTTTAAGTCCATAAAGTGACTTAACAAGTTTGCACACTTTCTTTTCTTTAACAGAAACCATAAAACCCTCAGGTTGTTCTATGTAAATTGCTTCCTCCAATTCTCCATTTAAGAAAGCTGTTTTAACATGCATTTGATGGATTTCAAGACCATACACGGCCGCTAGTGCCACTAACACCCTAATAGATGTTATCCTTGTTACCAGCGAGTAAGTGTCAAAGTAATCAAGGCCTTCTTTTTGTCTATAACCTTTGACAACAAGTCTTGCCTTATATTTGTCAATAGTTCCATCAGCTTTAATTCTCCGTTTAAAGATCCATTTCGAACCTAAAGGCTTATTTCCTAGAGGAAGATCAACCAATTCCCATGTATGGTTATCCAAAATTGATTGAATCTCACAATTGACTGCCTTTTTCCAAAATACTGAATCAGAAGACGACATAGCTGCTTTAAAAGTTTGAGGCTCATTTTCAAGCAAAAATGTCACAAAATCTGGTCAAAAGGAAGTAGATGTTCTTCGACGTTTACTATACCTTGGATCTTCTATACTCGGAGTATTTTCCTTTGATTCTTCCCAAGGTCGTTTAGGTTTTTCACTTAACGACTCGTATTCAGTTTTATATAGATATATGCTTTCAAAGAATTCAGCATTATCTGATTCCATTACCGTATTAACATAAATCTCAGGATTATCGGATTTACAAACCAAAAACCGACATGCTTTACTGTTTGTAGCATATCCAATAAAAACGCAATCTACTATTTTTGGTCCGATTTTAACCCTTTTAGGTAAAGGAATTTGTACCTTTGCTAGACACCCCTACACTTTGAAATATTTCAAGTTGGATTTTCTTCCTTTCCATTTTTCATATGGAATAGATTGCGTTTTGCTGTGGGGTACACTGTTGAGTAATCGATTAGCTGTAAGGATAGCTTCCCCCTACAAACTCTGCGGTAATCCGGAACTTATTAATAAAGAATTCATCATTTCTTTTAATGTCCGATTTTTCCTTTCCGCAATTCCGTTGGATTGAGGTGTGTAAGGTGTAGTAGTTTGATGGATAATTCCATATTCCGAACATATTTCTGCAAACGGAGATTCATATTTCCACCTCTTTCACTTCTAATCATTTTGATCTTTTAATTCAATTGATTCTCTACTTCATTCTTGTATTGCTTAAATGCTTCAATTGCTTCATCCTTACTATTAAGCAAATGAACATAACAATATCGAGTGCAATCGTTAAAAAAAGTAATAAAATACTTTTTCCCACCTTGAGATGGTGTCAACTTCATATCGCAAATGTCAGTATGAATTAAGTCTAAAGGAATTGAATTCCTTTCAACAGACTTATAAGGATGTTTTACAAACTTAGATTCAACACATATTTAACATTTCGATTTATTACACTCGAATTTAGGCAATACTTCTAAATTAATGAACTTTCGCAAGGTTTTATAATTGACATGTCCTATACGAATATGCCATAAATCATCTGACTCCAATAAATGAGAAGAAGCTGAAATTTTATTCATACTGTCAACAACCATTACATTGAGTTTGAAAAGGCCCTCTGTGAGGTAGCCTTTTCCAACATACATTTCATTCTTGCTTACAACAACTTTATCAGAAACAAATACACATTTGAATCCATTCTTTACAAGTAAAGAAGTAGAAACTAAATTCTTCCTAATAGTAGGAACATGAATAACGTTGTTGAGCGTTAACACCTTGCCGGAAGTCATCTTCAGGAATATCTTCCCATAACCTTCAATCTTGGCTGTTGCATTATTTCCCATGGAAATTTCTTCTTCGGGACCAGCAGTAGAGTAAGTCACAAATGCTTCTTTGACAGCACAAACATGTCGAGTGACTCCAGAGTCAATCCACCACTCC